GCATTGAAGTAGCCAGAGGTAGTACAGTGCTGACCACAGTCTTCTGGGTCCTGTATGCTGCTGAAAACACACGGCAGACATTCTGAAGGTGTTCTCTGATTGATAATTCGTCCCTTGTCCAATGATAAAAATAATGGCCATTCTCTACATGGCTGCTGTACCACACGAGCGAACCCCTGTGTTTTCAGAGCAGAGGGAAAGCCACTCAGCACAGCGGTATACAGGACCTGAAAGATCGCAGTCAGCACTGTAGTAGCTCCTGGCTCCTCTTCTCTTGAGGAGCTAAGGGCACTGCTGGTGCCTGCCCTTTTTCAGGTATGACAGATACCAGAGTCCTCGCTGGGTGCTGTCATCCCTCCCATCAGCCACTGTATCTTGTAGTGAGATAACGGTTAGTGGGATAAACAGTTACTTTTTTTTTTTTCCTAGAGTAGAGAAAAGTACCACCAATCTTTTTAGTCAGTAAGTCAGGGGGAGGCTTTCTACCGTGTTTCCCCGAAAATAAGACACTGTCTTATATTTTTTTGGGGCTCAAAAAAACACACTAGGTCTTATTTTCGGGGTAGGTCTTATTTTTTTTAAAATGTACAACAATCCAAAATTAATGCAAATCCAAATCGGCAAAGTTAAGAATAGGGTGATCAGGGCAATCAGAGGTGCCGTACCTTTCCAAGAGCAATTTGGTAACCAACCGCTGGCCAGAATGAGCGAAGCGCGCTATCACTATCGGTTCCTCATAGGCGGAGTGAATTTGGTATCACTCCGCCTGTGACTGGAGCCGGCGCTATAGATGAAGCGTCAGCTTATGCGGCTCTGCTCCCTGCGCTACCGCCTCACTTCCTCTAGGGCTGGGTTCGTTGGCACCGCCGATTTTCTCCCGCCTTTCCCGCGGCTCTTCAAATTTCCCCTTATGCCACCACCGGCCCTGGGAATGGTCACAACTAGGTCTTATTTTTGGGGGTAAGTCTTATATTTTAGCAATTCCCAAAAATAGTACTAGGTCTTATTATCGGGGTAGGTCTTATTTTCGGGGAAACAGGGTAACAGGGAGCAGCAATAAAAAATGTTGAAGGTTCTAAACCTTCCCTACTTGATCCAAAACAAAAAACGTTTTGCTGGAGTTCTTCTTTAAAGGCATGTTGTTACCCCTGCAATGACATGGAGACGTTTAAATACATTTTGAAACTGTGCATCTCCTGCTGTAAAATGTTGCTAAAAGCCATCACACATAAACCGTGGAAAATATTAATATTGAAGTTTATTTTGCCCTAAGGTCTAACCTAATCTCATTTTTCTTGGCACAGCATACTATAAATATCAGTTGTCTGTGTATTCCTAGGAAAAACTCTGTAAAGGACACAGTAAAGCGTTCATATTTCAGAGCTGGAATTATTTCATAACCTTATCAAATAGCAGCAGTAAAACACTTCTGAATCTTAAAGAGGTATTTTCTTTTCTCATTTTGAGCTTGTTCACAGCACTGACAGTGCGTTCCAGAGCGGTTAGCTATTCTGTTCTGTTTCCATTCTGGGGTGGGAGGGAGTGTGGCGGTGCATTGAAGGTCCAGTGCGATCGGAAAAAATAGTGCATGCAGCTTTTTTTCCAATCGCACAGGACCAGAATGCAGGCATTGATGAGCCACGTGTTCTGTTGCCGGCGATCACATGCCCCCTCCTGCCCCAGGACACAGGGGGAGTTTAGTATGTGATAGAGCGGTGTGATCAAGCCATTTAAGTTGATTTTGCTTTGATTTTTGTCTTTACAAGTATCAAACTGGCTATATTTTTGCTTTAGTGGTTCAGTTTTACTTAGGGCTCTTTCACACCATATGTGTTGCACTCCACCTATCTTGCCAAGGCATAGATAAGGCAATTTAGTTTACTTTCTAGGAGTTCCACCTTTTTATTTAAACAAAATGCACACTTCATAAAAATATTTGAGATCTGACTGTTTTATTTTACACCTTAAGTAGCAGTCTAATATGAAACATGGTCAGAAAGGTAAACGTTAACCTTTTTAACAGCTTTGTGCTGTAGTGGTGTCCACTGAGAAAAACTAGGACATGCTCCATTATTTTTGGCGTGGCAGGACGCGATGCACTACACCACATCGCAATGCACTGCTATAGATAAAGATAATCGAAATGTCATTTGGTGGCATTTCAATAAAGTTGAAAAAGGGGGAAATAGTAAACAGTAAGTTGCGTCATTTGCAACGCATTGGCAACACTTCCTTCACAGCGCACACAAGGAGCTGCTGTAGAATGTGGCCACAAGCCATTATTGTGACTACTGTGAACAGAAAGAAACAATGTTTATTTTGTTTTGCAGGTTGCCTGAAAGTTTTCCAGACCTGGAAAGCCTGACATGTCTATCTATTAATGATATCTCGCTGCAGGCACTTCCAGAAAACATTGGGAAGTAAGTATGTCAGACAATGTTCATCTTGTTTTCTCCCAGACAAATTAATCACGTCATAAAACAAGTGTGGCTGTGTCGCGTCTTCTCTTCATACAAGAGATGCCAGGCTGTTGTAGTGTTGTTAAATAGGATCGCTAAATAAATGCACGTCTGGAGCAACATAACTGCTTAGTCACTGCTACTCTAATGGTTTGTAGCAGAACATATTCACATTATGATCATGCTGGATAAATAGGCAGTCTATTGCAGAGTACAGCTCTTACAAATGGAACTGAATCCCACTTCTCATCTTTTACTTACTGATTATGTTTGTTGCCAAGGGCTTGTGTGCTTGTTTAATAAAACAAAAGCTTTAAAATTTCATGAGCAAAGAGGTGCATGGGTCTCTGTAAAGGTGAACTTATGAACCATTTTTAACATGTCACAGAAGCGGGTGTTCATGAAAAGCGAATCCAGTTTTAACAGCTAGGCGCAGAGAAAGATATGAAAAGAGTAGTTGCTTTGGATACTGCTTAATGTCAATTTTTCTTTTACTCAGTATAATAGAATAGAATAAATAAAATCGATGGACTAGACCCAATGTGGGATTTCTAGGTTAGTTAAGAATTGTGTGTGCATAGCAGTTTGCTTTTATAATGTCCATTAGTAAATGTGTTTTAACATGTTTCCATACATTTGCAAAGCATGCTATGGTGCGTTTGCATGTGTGTGGAGTATATGTTTACTACAAATATACCATTCCAACAGACAGTTTAGAAAAAGGGAAGTTCCACTCTAAAGTAAGGAAGTGAAGGGCCCCATTGAACAAAAAAATCAAGGCCCTGCATATCATTAAGGTGATGTTCCCCACCTTCTGGTGCTTTTATTTATACAACAATTACTCATCTGAAGTGTAGAAAATAATTTCCTGCTGTAAACTTCATGCGTAATTTGAAGGAAACTGCACAAGTGTGAAAGGAACTTAATAAATGTTGGTAAAAAAATGTGTGTCTTTTCATGTAACGATATGCATTTTTATGCTGCAAATACTATTTTTATAATGCACAAACTCAAATTCAACCCAAACATTTTGGTTTAGTTCTGGTAGTGTGGGGAAAAGATAGGACATCTGTCAGGTGTTTATATGTAGTCTGTGCCTCCACTGAGGACATTTTACCTCCCTTTTTGTTCGAACAGAAAGCATTAGGAAATCGTTTCAAGAGAGCCACAGACTGCAAAAAAACACTTCTTTCATTAACTGCTTCCCGTCCAGCGGCCATACATAAATGCCTATAAGATGCGGGTGGGCGTTTTAAAACGTCCTTCCCCGCCTCCACTCGTGCGCGCCTTCCAGCGCACTCACAAGTGGGAAAACTGCTGAAATTTCAAACAGCCAGCGATGACTGTTTAAATACAAGTGTTCCAGCGGCTATAGAGCCGCCCGATCGCTTGTATTTTGTATGTGGGTGTGCGGCCCCCTCCTCCACCACCGCTGCCGCCAGTACCGATCGCGAGCTCCGCTGTGCCCGGTGCAGGCCTGCTCTGTGTTCGGAGATAAGTACATTTTCCCCAGTCATCTTCCAGGACAGCCATCGAGATATAGGCTCCGCCTGCCTGCAACAGGAAACACATCAACCACATTAAATAAATAGACTCCTCCTTCCATCCCAAGTCAGTTTTTTTGTGTTTCCGTCGGCTACACAGGGACATCGTAATGTTTGTTATTTTAAGGGCTCATGTTTGTTTGCCTTAGGGCTGAGCCTTACCCTACTATGCATTTGGACCTACTCCAGGGTTACCTGCTGCAGTGCATATAGGGATTCCCTATCGGACCCCCACCCGATTCTTGGCCAAGGTTCCCTTCCGTCACTCAGGGAAGGCAACCATCCTCCTGCACGTGAGTAGGCGCCAGATGGTGGCCCCCCCGGGTGTACAGCAGTGGCAAGGTGTGATGACCTGGAGTGTGCGGTGCCCCTGTGGTGGACAGCAGTCTGGTAACAACAGGGGCAGCATGGAGGTACGGGGAGGCTGAGGAGCCCAGGGTCCCAAATGCCTAGGAGCATATCGGGCACTTACCGGTCGGTAGGGGGAGCGGTGACAGTCGGCGGCAGTATGGGGGTGTTGGTCCTCGCGCGGAGCGCTGCACCGTTTCTTGGGCTCATACTGGCTTCCCTATTTGGGGAATGAAGGCCGTGGATGCGGCGGGTGACGTCACTGAGGTGCGCCGGCGCCACGCGGCGTGCGCACCGCGTCATAGGTGACGCGCTTCCGGTGCGCCACTTCCGGTTTTTCGTCCTCAGCCTCGAGCCGGAGACATAAGGAGCTGAGAGCTCCCAGATGGCAGCAGACGCCACTCGGCCACGACTAACTAGGTCAGCAGCTGTACACCGTAACCGACCTAGACCACATACGGCCGGTGGGGACGTCAGGAGAGGGCCGATAGCGTCGTCAGGCAGTGAGTTGCAGTAATGCCCACAGATGCCGGACCGGGTGCTGCTGCTCCAGATCTGGGAGAGCATGGCACAGGCGCTAAGGTAGGCGAGTTTTTTATGGAAATTCTCCCCTTGCCTTTACCCGCTTGCATTGGGGGCCTG